AATGTAATTTTGGAGGGAACTTGTGATCTGCAGTGTTGGGTTAGACTGCTCATCCATCAGGCTCACCATATCACCTGACAGTATTAAGACTCGCTTCTTTGAAAGACGGAAAGTGTCCTTCTTGGCACACACTCTTCCCTGTGTCTACCTTTAACTCTGTCACTTTCTACCTACATTAAATTCACAGCTTCCTAAGACTTGTTAAGCCTTAAATTATGTTTTCCTCTAACGTAACAGGTAAGCTGTTATAGTAAGACTTCTTTTCTTTTTAAATAGTCAAAAAGTCTCAACAGCTGTGTGGCACTGGAATACAATTTAAAAGAGCATGTTCAAAATTAAGTGTTTTATTAGGCAATTCATGATTGTCAGCTTTGGACATAATCTAGGATAATATTGAGCACATGCTTATCTTTGCCTTTGATGAAGTTATTCATGCTTAATTTTACAGGTCTACTGGCCTGGCTACTTTCTGTAAATATGTATGAGTTCCCTTTAGTACTGAACTGGAGCTCTCTATTAGTTATTAAAATAATTTGCTCAATACCATGCTGGAAAGCTGTGCAAGCTCTTGTTGTGGGATAAGATCTGTGAAATAATTTTTTATTCTTATCTGCAACAATTTATTATTTAGGAGTTGTAAATTATCTGGAACTTACATAGATGAACCACAACCAAATTCTAACATCTCAGGAATGAATTGTGATATCACATAAACTAGGAAGTTTTGACCTAAAAGCAGTGCAAAAACTAGTTGTTAGTTAGTTGACCTGACTTGTATAATCTGATTCTATACATTATTTGAATTTTCTCCTGTAGGCACAGTGAGCTGTCATGACAAATTTTTTCCGTCTTCTACATCACTTGCTCCCTGGGCGTTGCTGGTCTTTGGATACTTTTTCTCCCAAGCCCTACAGTGATCAGGATGTCTCTGGATGGTCCTCTCCTCCACCTCCCCCCCCACCTCAGAGACTATTACACTTCCTAAAGATACGAAGTCTCCCTCTGAACAACAATAATGTATGCTCTTTTTCCAGGTATTAGTAGTTCTAATTTACCTTATAGTTGGAAAAGTGACAACTTAGAAGATACACCCTACTTAAGAGATCTTCTTCCATTTATTCTGAATCATACTTAGTTCTCTGATTGAGAAAATAAGCTTTTAATACACAGAATCCACAGCAGCCCCAAATACAGAATTAACCCACCTTCTTATTCAGATATGCAGGGATTTGTTATTTTCCACTTCACAGAATATTTCTTTCAAACTCTGTTCCAGAGTATACTTTTACTTTAGCTCTGTACAGTAGGGTTTCGCAATTATCACTTCTAGGAGATTTCCAGAGTTACTCAATTTACAAATTGATGCAAGGATCATCCCTTGCGGGTCATAATTTAAGAGTTGAGCCCAGATTTTTCTTTCAGATACAATGTTAATAGCATTTCCACAAGCCAAATTTTGATTTGGGAAACTACATCTAACAGGCCAGTTTTGAGAGGTGTAGCATATGAGTCATCACACATAGGAAAATGTTTCCTGTGCTAATGAGATTAACAAATAACTGGAAAAAAAGTCAGTAGTAGATGTTTGTCTGAAGAATGAAAAGGAGACCCTTAATATTGTCAATATATTCTTGCCATCAACATTTAGAAGGATATGGCCAAATTCTAAACAGGATTAGGATTTTTGGCTGTATTGGTGCACCTTGGACATATGAATTGAAACTATTTAACAATTTTACTAATAACACAGAAGCCAAAATGAAACTGCCACACATACCCTGACAAGGGAGTCGGAGTATGAGGAAGCAGCACAGCAGCTGGAGTGAGCAAGTACATCTAAGAATACGAAATCAATTGGCCTCAGTGTTCATGTCCCTACCTTAGTGTATTAACTGTTTAACGTAGAGTCCTCCTTCCAACTGTACTTTTAGAGAATTTAGAGGGAAAATTACAAAACTGTGTGCAGATTTATGAGCTGCTAAATACAAACATGCTGACTGACCTATTTATGCAGCATGACACTAACACCTCAAATAATCCAGCAAACAAGTCAGCAACAACCTCAGTACATATGTGGCATATAAGAAATCAATATGAAGTTTATATAGGGACCGGAGCTGAAATGTATGGTAGAGGAAGATTAAGTCTTTTCCTTTCAGAAGATTAATTCTCTTCCTTTCTGCTAAGCAACCTCAATGGCTCCCTTTTTATGTTTCTTTATTGCCAGCGCAGATGCTACTCCCCAGGACCAATACTGGTAGAACTAGAAACGAGAATTCCACGCACCTGACCGGGTAACAGAGAAACAGTGTGAACCCTGCTGTGAGCAAAATGAGATGCAGAGCGAGAATCGACCCTCCTTGCTCTCACCATTCCCCATCTGCTCATGTGCAACACACCTGCAGCACACCCGCAGCTTGGCCGGCACCGGCAGGGAAAGCTCCCAAGTGACACTGCAGTGCACCACACACACAGAGCCGGTATATAAACAGCCCCTGACAGAAGCACATCTGCAGAGGCACAGGAGCAGAAACATTAAGTCCCTTTCCAAGATTAGGCAGCCCTTCCTCCTCTAGCACAGGGGAATCGCTTTAGCACCACTCAGAGGGTCAGGATTCTGCTTTGATTTCCACAGCAGCACGGGACGCTGCTCTCAGCCACCCGTGCAGGTATATTTCTTGTTCAGACATGTGAGGAAGGGGAGGAGGTTAGCATTTACTGAATTTGGGGCATGAGGTGTCAGCACAGCTGCAGCGCTAAGTGGTTGCATGTGCAGGAAAATCCTTCTGCCTATCGCAGGGATTTGCAGTCCTCTGTTCATTTCTCATTATGGCCATGCCATTTCCCGGAGCGGTCCATAGACAGGAGGCAGTGGATGAGCGACTGCATTCCTATTTTGGCTAATTCCAAATCGGATGACACTCCCGATTTCCTTCTCCTTTCACACTAATCTTTACATTTACTGATGAGCTGCTCTCATTTGTGATTAACCTACAAACTCTTGCCAGATGGGGTAGTTTGAACTTGAATAACCATCTGAAGAAGTGTGGTGTAAGACATAAGATTTTCCAAGGCACCAATGCACTAAACAAATATTTTTAGTATGTTTGTCCTAGGCCTGACCCCTCAGGTTTCTATACCTCTCTGCAGTTCTCATTCCTGCAAACAGTGTAAGACTCAGGTAAATGTTTGTCAGCTGGGAAATGGCAGACACTGGCCTAATACCTGAAGGTTATGTGCTGGCTCCTCACTTAGATGAATCTGTCTGTGCAAGTGCTACTCCTCAGCTCTTCTCCTCCAGCACAGGGCACAGCAGCTTGGCTCCAGTCACTGCAGAACAGCACAAGGAGGCCAGTCCTCACTGGTGTGTCCTACAGATGCTCTTTTTTCCTCATTAGCCTGGGCATCATTCCTTAAAAACCTAAAACTAGATTTTTGGACTAATTACTAGTCCAAACTAAAAATTGTAACTATTTCTTCAGTTCTTTTTAGTCAAACATCAATAAGCCATCTCTTTCCTGAAAAGGAAAAAGCCCTCATTTCTACAACTACTTTATATTTTTATTATTTTTTTGTATTTGTCAAACAAGAAGCTTTGTGATTTTTTCTGACTAGCTGTTTTTCTGTTTTAAGTTTTAGGAATAACATGCAAGTAAATTTCAAAAGTGTAATCAGGATTTCTTCCATGACTGTGCATTGAACTTGAGATCCCACAGCTGATACTGCACTGAAGCTCGTTCATAATGCTATGTTCAAGAAAAATATAGCCCTCGGTGGGATTTCAGGGCTTGATGTTCTTCTGGTCTGGCACAGTAGAGCTATTCTGTACGTAACAAGTTTTGCCTCTTCATATAGAAAAATTTCTTGATTAAAAAATTAAATTGATATATTATCAAAAAAGGGACGGATTTTAATATGGCAAGACCTTACACTGGTTTAAGCGTCTAGAATGGCTGTCCCCCACTTATAAGAACGGAAGAAGCTATTTTTAAGAGTTTTAATTTCCATCTCTAGACCGTAATTTGCTATGTCATGTTAAGTGACATTGGACTGAGCCACTGTGAAAATGTGCTGAGTTCAATGGCCTTCACATTTCTCATCTCATGCATGAAATGGTCTAATGTTACTGGTTTGGAGGGGGAAAATATCAAAGTCCACTGGTAAGCAAGTTCTTCCAGCTAAGTGGGAGAAGACAGCTGGAAAGGTCATGGGTAATGTAAGAGATAATGGTTTTAAACTCAGAGTTATTAAATGGTGTCTAGTTTATGAGGTTATGAGTGAAGATAATTATCATCTGATGGCTCTCTGGTTTAGTATATGAACTGAGTTTGGTCTGTTTTGTTCTGCCTGTATTTCCATAAAACATCACAGATTTGCAACAAGCACATTTTTTTTTGCCTTCTCTGCAATTGGGCAGCAATAGATAAAACTCTAACACTGACAGTGGCGCCTGAAACCATGACACCAACAAGTGATGATGGAGTGTCTCCCCCCAGACAGCTCTGAGGAGGGAGACTGCACCTTCTTGCCCTGCTAACTTGGTTCCTGATGAGACAGGAAAATTTGCATGGGGTGGAAATGAAATTAACCCACTCTGCTGTAAATGAGATCCCTTCGTTTCAGGCTTCCAGACTGGTGATCACAGCTAAGCACCAGGGTAGCGCTCATGGAGGTGTCTTGCTCAGACTACCAGCCTGCCACTGTCACAAATCCCACACACACATGAGAAATTAAAGGGAAAAGTCATCCCTAAAGGACCTCTTTGTTCCCGTCAACATTATCAGTGCATATTCACCTGTTTTTTTCTCTGCAATGTAGATGTTAGCACTTGAGGTAGAGGAAGTTTCCTGATTTTTTTTTCTTAATATGGATTTTTTTCCCCATGTAAATTCCTCAAAATAATTTCAATTTTTAAATGCCTCAGAAACAGCTGATTTCCCCCTCTCTGCTACTGTGGCAAGCAAGGAGATTTTCCTGCTCCCTGACTTACGCCCTTAGCTTCCCTACTCACCTCCTTGGGAAGCTGCAGGTGACTAGACCTTCATTATTCCCAAAGAGACGCCTGAGCGTCTGAGCTGGCCAGGGGGGGAGCACAAAGCACACTGTCACCACCACTCCCCATGCCTCTGAGTCAGAGCTATGACACTTGTGGTTGCCAGTGTTATTTCAAGGCAATGCACTTACCCAGTGGCATCACTCCGGTAGTGCTGAAGTGTATGTGCACTGCATTTTCACACAATACCTGGGACTGTGAATAAGTGAGGGAAACCAAGAACAGCTGTGCTTACTACTCAGAGGCAAACTATGAAATGTCAGTAATAAATATTACATATAGCAAATGCCAGTTTGCTCTTACTTTATCTATATTGTATGTGAATGCAGACCTGTTTCAAACACTATTCATATTGTCTGTTGCGGACTGCCAAAGGCATTAGCAATTTTGCACTATAAAATCCACAGAGCAAGCTAAATAGCCAATGTTTTTAAGCTGACAATTTAGGGCTTTCATAGAGTGCACCAACTTACTGAAAGTTTTCTGGAAAGAAAACTCTCTAATGTTAAAGAAATGCAGAGCTGAGCCTAGGGTTTTTTTGTGTATATAGCTCCACTTTTATTTTTTCCCCATCAGACTAGAATAACAACTCATTACATTAGGTTATTTCCACTTAATTCAAGGAATAGTACAGAGGGATTTCCCTTACAAAGTTTCTAAACCTTCTGGTTTAACAAATGCTTTCTGTAGCAAGTATAACCCACTTTCAATCATCACGGATCAGGAGCCTCTTATAGTCTATGTCTTAACAAATCAGGTTAAGAATTACAAGGTCATCTTCTCAGGTTCAGTCCCTAGACACAACCAAGGATACTGGGGGTTTTTAAACACTTCAAATGGAAAAAAATGAGGTCTAATTTAGTTCAATACACACCTACTTTGATATAAGTGAGAAAAAAAAAAACAGTGAAAATTAGTCTAAATTTTCTAAACCATCAGAGGAGAAGAGAAACTGTAATTTTCATCTTACTAAATCATTCAGAGATGACAGCATTTATCCAGGTTGTAGAAGACCTGTTTCACACCTATTTTCTGTATTAATCAGAAGAACAGATCTATACCACAGTCCCTCACTTCACAGTTGAATAAGTTAATCAGTAGACCGTAGGATATTCTGAGAAACGTTTCCCTCATCCCTGCTGGCTGGAACCACTGTACCAAGGTAGATAATTACATATTATAAACTCATCATAACCGAGAACAAGAATGGAAGAACAAGGATGCCTGGTGGCAAGGGGTCCTGGAGCAGTGGGTGATGTTAATTCAGTCATCTTGGAGAAAAGGTTTGCACTTGAGCATCCTGACATTCTGGATTAATTTGCAAACCTCAGAGCTGCCGATCTAATAAAGAATATAGATCTAGCAGTGACATGTTTTACTGTCATACCTGATCCGACTTGACAGACTCCACCCGGATTCACAGGCAGTAGTTTGAGGAAAAGCAAAACCACAGTTTTTATTTTATAGCTTGCTCCATGAAAAAAGTATCACCCTCTTCTGCTGAAGAAGTACTAACGCTTCACATCCAGAAATCCTCATTCCCTTTTCTAGCTCACAGCTGGTTTATTGGGCCTGCCTTGCATCTCTGGCATCTTGCTATTCTGGTACTTCTGCACTAGAGATCAGCACAATGAAAATCGGGCACGCCTGCAGGGCGTAATGCTCCAGTGTTTGTGCACAGAACTGCTGGTTTATCAGTAATGCTGAGAGGGATTATCGGAGAGTCATCTTAGTGCCTCCCAGTCTGTCTTTACTTTTTCCCTTTTTGTGCTGTATTCTCCTCACATCTGTCTGCAGCTTGCTATTTCTCTCCTTATAGCCATCTGTTTACATACTCTTTAGCACAACCAATTCCTGATCCGTGGGCTGTTTAAACTCCCATGAATAAATGCAGCTATTGCAGCTTGCCAGGCACTGTTAGAGGGGAAAAGCCTGGCTCTCAGAGGTCCCAGATGTATTAACTGCTCTCTACACTCTTTTTATTAACATAGGCTCTTTTATTAATATGGAACTTCCTATGGAATTATCATGGAATTATCATGTACAGTGTTATCATGTACAATGTTGTTTTATAGATCAACCTGCTTAGACAACACACAAATCACACTGCAACATGCTATGGCAACACCACCATGCAAAATATAGGGGTTTTTGTTTCAAACATTGGGATAGTTTCCTTTGTGGCTGTTTATTTACTTTTTAGTGTCCTTTACTGACTTTGTCCCATTGAATCCAAATTTCTTCCTGATTACAGTGGATTCAAAGCATATTACAGGAAGACTTTACCTATAAGAAAGTAGTTAAAGAATTACAGTTTTGTTTTAACATGTGAGATATTCCCACAGCCTCACAAAACTTTGTTCTTTCACTGCGTTTGTTTCTTTTTTTAATTACTAGAAAGTGTATATATATATATAAAAATACTTGAGGAAATACTCTTGAGCCTCATTTTACGGGAGGCAGTTTCTGAGAACTGCTTCACCTTCCCTAGAAACTAAAAAACAAAAACCATGATCTTTGCTGAAAGCTCTCATATTTTTCATTTCAACGCACACAGCTCCACTAACCAGGTCACAGAAAAAGCCACGGACACACACGCACACACAGCAGCGTCACCTGCACAATTCAACAGACAATGCAGACAAACTTGAGTATAATCCAAGATCTTTCTACCTCTTTTCATAACAGGTTAGTGCTCGCCCTCAGTGTTGGTGTACAGTTTTTATGGCATGGGAAAATAGGGATGTTTCTGCCCTACAAAAATAAATGCGTTGAATGCTTTAGTTTGAACTTTCATAATGTTAAAAAAAAAATCCAAAGAAACTGGATAAGTAAAAAGAATCCCACATATCAGGAAATCAGCGGATCTTTTGACAGGTGGCAAGAGAATGCCCACAGCAAATTTACCAGCCTTCATTTTTTTTACCTTCACAAAATTGCTTTTAATAATTATATATTTTAAAAAAATCAGTTCTTGTAGTCCATTATCAAAATGAAATCCCAATCAAACCCTTGTGCATCATCAGCATGAATTCTTTGGTCCTGAAGAAGCTGTGCTAGACATTAAGGAAAATGGGGAAATTATTACTGTTTATTTTTCCCTGTGCCAAATTAAAAAAAAATGGGACAAACTCTTTTTTAGTAAAATAAAAACGAGACAGGAAGGAAATCCAATGTATTCAAACTGTGTTAGACTTTGTATTTTGGGAGGCACCAGAAAAAGGAACAACATCAAGCAGGTTTTCACAGATTCTTTACTACAATTTTTAAAAAAAAAAAAAAAGAGTGAATAATTTCATGCTTCCTAATGCAAAAACCATGGCTCCCAAAGGTCCATTCCTCCATGTGTGACTATTGAGGTCAGTAGGAAAGGGACTAGGAAGGAGGGGTTGTAATGAAAGCACATTATAAAGCTGTCATTCCTAGGAAAATTCACAAACTGTGATGAATACACTTTAACTGTCAGGTTAGAGAAGCAAAAAGGGAAAGCAGGGATCAGTGAGGGGGAGGGGAGAAGGATGTCCCATCAGGTTTACTAGTCTTCCGAGGCAACAAACTTACCACATTGCGTGTGAATTTCTCAAAAGATGTTCGACGATCCAGAGTGTTTTCCAACTTAAATTTAAAATAAAAAAAACAAAAAAGAAACAAAAAGAAAAAGGAGGGGGAAAAAGAAAAGCAAGAAAAAATGGAGTAGAAAAGAAGGATAGATGAAACAATGGACTGCAAAACAAAGCTTGTATAAATCAGGAAGCAAACACAGGTATGAAGCTGTAATGGGTCTCTGCAAAACAGGGGATGGGCAAAGCAGATATAGTATTCAACAAAAATAATTTTTCATGGGGATCAAACTGGTTTGATTTAAAAGAAAAACTGAAAATAAAAAGAAATAATGAAGTGCACATCTTGTGTTAATGAACTGACATTCACAAACTTAAGGACTTCACACGGACAGTTGTAGCTTTCTGGTATTTTCAACATCTCTCTCTATATTGGATCTTCAGAAATCAATGTTTGAACAAAAAACAAAATCACACAGTACTTTCATATAATTTTAGGTTGTCATTATAAACAATAGAATGCTACAGTGTTAATAACTACCTTGTTCCAGTAATGATCAGGGCCCTGATTTTGCAAGGCACAAGGCTCCCAGCTGATTCTAGGAGATTACTATTTAGAGCCCACTAATAAAATTATTTATCATTATAGAAATCTGCATTGCACAAGCTGCTCCACATACTCTGGGCTGCGTCTATTCAGAACTCATTCCATATTTGGACTTTTCTAAGCAAATATTACATACCAAGACATGAGCCTCTGTTTGCCGAAGTGTGACATGATCAATCTTTGAAGCCAGATTCCTAGCCTACTCAAAACTATTC